GTGCTTTACACCGTACTGCCGTAACCTATACGGTGAATATATTGTTGCGAATTACACCATTTCTCTCGCGTCGCGGCATTTTATTTACAATAAAGAATATTAACTATAATATTCCACTTTTGAAAGATCTGAATTGTTATTGTATCGAATTGTGTTATAGTTAATATTCTTTATTGTAAATAAAATGCCGCGACGCGAGAGAAATGGTGTAATTCGCAACAATATATATATATAAACTTTACCTTAACCTATACGATGCAGTTCTGGATCAGCCGGTGCGACAAGCTTGAGATCGCAGGGTACCTATACCTAATTTGTAAAGTGCTATAGTGAGGATATCTTGACCCTAGAAATTGTAGCTGTGTGTGTGTGTGTGTGTGTACATTTAAAAGAAAATGAGTTATGAAAATGAGTATTTGGCTCATAGTAATAGATACATAACCGCGCTAATATATGCGCACGTATGGTTTCTTTACGTTACGGTTTTTTAATGAAATTTGTGCTTTCAGGGATCCGATATCTTGAGAAAAGTAAATATTCAAGATTATAAGAATAATAGGTATAACGAAGAAAGGTCTTATATTCTCTGTCAAAGTTTGCATTCGTCGAGAAGCCGCGGTAATACCTACAAGTTACCCTCAAGACGATTTCTTGTGGTCGTTCGAACGTATTTTTTCGAATCGATTGGGTTCAGGTAAGTTGGCCGTTCAAGGTCGTTCATGGTTACCCTTGCCACGGTATACGCGGCCTCTTTACCTGTTACACTTTCGCCTCCACCCGACGGATGCTTGAGAAATGGAAAGCACCGACACTCGGTGCTATCCTATCTCTCTCTCACCACCTTGCTTGTTAGAGTGGCGTAACGATAGAAGTTGCGCGCACCGTATAATTCACGGTTGGGAAAGTGGCCTTGAACAGGCCCGATCGGGTCCGATTGAAATCGAGTCGATGAGTACGTCGAATTTGCGCTGAATTTACGATGAATGTTCGTACATTGTTTAATTCGTCGGCGGTATGTTTTCATTTGTTTTATTCTATTTTCCAGAGGTAAAATGTTTCTGCATTTTTATTGCGTGGATTCTAATTGGCCGACTCGTGGATACCGATGGTCCCCCAACATTTGCTGCGTAAACTCTTCATTTCGATGCCGGAGGGATGAGAATGATGACTCTAACAGCTCTGCGAATGACGAAGGATGAGGAAGGATGACGAACGTTGCCAGAGAACTACGTTAAATTCTCTCTAATTGATGATTCGCTGAAATGATAAGAAAATAGACGAATGTAGTTTCCACATATTGCAATCGACGAAGACAATTTTTATTTTGCATAAAGATCTGCAGTCTGTCCATCGATAAGGCTAAGCCACGCAACAACGTCCGCGATTCTACTCTTAGTATTTCCATGTTTAAGCACAAGTGATATAGAGGGTGAGAGTCTCGTAACACGACGACGCTTAACCTTTTAGGCACGACGCGCCATTATAGTGGCTTCCGCGGATGTCATCTCTCTGAACGACGCGCCACTATAGTGGCTTTCGCGGATGTCATCTCTCTGAACGACGCGCCACTATAGTGGCTTACTCTAGTAGCTCACTCGGTCATCGTTTGAATCAAATAATCGTCTTCGTATGCATTGTTTCACACTTCTTTTGTCTTCACATCGATTTACAATATACAGACTTATCTTAACAATATAACTGTATCTTAACAATATACAGACAGAATGTACAGACACTCTGTACAGTATATATTAGACTCTGCCGTCCAGAGAAATAGCTTCGCGCAGAATTCAGCCGTACCTAAAAGGTTAAAAGCTCACGAAATATTCGTCGTACGAAAAACTGTTTCAGATAGAATTTGCCCGGCTTACAAAGGGGCGTATAGTACCGAACTCGGCTTTCTGTGATTTTGCTCTTTTATCGAAACACGAAGTTCACGTTCAATTTTTCACGCGGAATTGTTTATATTTGTTCCCCAATTCGGATAAAGCATTAAATTCTGCATAAGAAGGTATGATACCAAATAGGACCTAAAAATAAATGGTTACCGAAATATTAGTAAAAATAAATTACTAATAGAACATAATGTAACAGAAAAGATCGCTTATTAGCAGACTACGGATTCTATGCATTCATGACAAAAACGATCATTTGCAATGTCGAACAGTGGAAACATTAAAAACAATAAATAGCGCCAATGTACAAAAATGGACAATCCGAGCGTCAATTAGGGCGAATTTACTGCACCGGTACTATTGAGAAAAGAATGCGACTCTTATTTTTTCTTTCTTACTCCCATTTCTGCGCGGCCTATGTGGACAATTTTTACTTAAGATCTTTTATTTCAGATCCGCACTCCACACTCGTCAGAAGGTCTCGGGTTAGCCGTCGAGGCAAGTATTGAAAGACGTTTCTTATGGTTGCTAAAAAAGTGACTTTATTCGAGTAAACATTATCCTATCGCAGACAGATCGGCTCAGTGGATGTAGGCGGGTGCGGCGCCGGCGTAGGCGAGGGGTGCGGCGAAGGGCGAGGCGATCTTGGCGATGGGTGCGGCGTAGGAGAGGGGTGCGGCGATTTTAGCGACTGGGGCGGCGTAGGCGAATTTGGCGACCGGGGCGGCGGCGTAGGTCAGAGGAGCGGCGATCTTGGCGACCGGCGCGGCGTAGGCGATGGGTGCAGCGATCTTGGCGACAGGTGCGGCGATCTTGGCGACAGGCGCGGCGACCAGGGGAGCGGCGGCGGCTTCTTTGCGGACTACTGCGTTGAATCCGTTGACTGGGTCGGCGGTGTAGTCGACGATGCGCCGGGTTCCGTCGGCTTCGATCAAAGAGTAGCTGCCCTGGACAACGTCTCCGTCGCGGGTCTCTTGCTGGCTCTTGGCGTCACCGGTCAGGCTGTCGTGGACATCGTAGGCGTAGCTGTATTGTGGATGCGGGTCGTAGTCAGCGTCCACCGCCTTCGCCACGGGGGCGACAGCCACGGCCTTCGCCACGGGGGCCACAGCGACTGGTGCCGCGGCGTAGGCGAGAGGAGCTGCCGGGGCGTAGGAGAGGGGAGCTGCGGGAAGGAGGCCGGCGTTGGCGGCGGCCAAGAGGGTAGCCAGAGCAACAAACTGCGAACAGAAAGTAGTTTTCGTTAGACGTTTCGTTAAACGTTTGGGATTGTTATTGTGTCGACAATATCCGGAGACTGGTAGCGTAATCGGACGATAATGTCAGTTAATTCTTCGCACTTGGTGACATTTTAACTCTGAATCCAAAATAGTTTCTTCCGAACTACGATATTTCCATTTTCTGAGATGTAATTAGTGTGATCAGTGCGTTTCATGCAGATGTAATTCGGACTTGTGACCGAATTTTAACGGATTTTAACCGCTTTTAACAGCTTTTTGAATGTAAACGATTTTGATGATTCGAAAATTAGTTCAGGACGCGATGAAACAATTTCTAGTGGTGCCTGGGGGTCACCTCTCGAGCGGGAAGGGTTGAAAGCGAGTCAACGATCTTCCTCTCGCGGTACTGAAATTTTATAGTGATTATAAGTTTTTAGATATTATTTGAGTTCAATTTTTATCGAACTGCAGAAGAAGTAGTATTTGTTAGAAAGAGTAGAAGATTATAGTCCTACTATCATTAGTGTTTATAGTTCTATTATTAGTGTAACGGAATGATAAGGTCTGTTAAAAGCGAGCTAACAATCTTCCTCTCGCGATATTAAAATTTTACAATATTTATAAGTCTTTTACATATTATTTAAATTCAATTTCGATCGAATTGCAAACGAAATAGACTTCGTTAAAAAAAGCTCGCAGCGTATAGCTCTTCCACAGATAAAAATAACCCTATTCGACCCTAGTCTCCAATTGATGAAACAATGCACAAGTCGGGTCACATTCTTGCAAGAAGTGGACCGCCGATGGTACTCGGAACCAGACCGTGGATTTTATGCATTTATGAGAAAAATTGAGCTTATAAAATTCGAAAAAAATGAAGAGACGAAAAGAATTCAACGATATCTACACGTTGCTTGTCAAACAATTACAATCCCAAACGAAAGAAAGAAAGTTCTACGTGATTCTCCTGCGTCTTGCGAACGATGCGCCGGACTCGTTATTTTACGTAAAGGCCCGCGATCGGCTCGGAACGATACAGAAATGGGAAACGGACCCACGGAATTCCCGAGAAGTTGATGAAAGTCGCGTTACCGAAATCGTCCGCGATTATCGAAACAGGCACGAGTACGTGCGTTCTACTTTTCGCGGCGCGAAACGCAGCCTTTCGCGGGAGACGAAAACGTTTCGTCGTTTCGACGAGGAGTGAACCGCGGAGTGAAACAAATTAGCCGAACGGACAACGGCAGCCGAGAAAACGGACGGTCGCAATGACCGCGACGACGAGGGCTATCCGTCGACGACTATTCGTCGGATAGACGAGGCGACTACCGCGGCGGGGTGACGTCGTTAATGAACGATTCACGATTCGCTTTCAATATACGATATGTACCTTGAATGCCATTGTAGCTTGCTTGATCGGTAGATCTCTCGATCTGTCTGTCTGTGAAGCGAATGATACTACGGTCGGGTGGTTTTCGGCTTTTATACCGGCCGGGCAGGACCCACGGGCACGCTGACGTAACTGGGTGACGGTACCTTCGACGGTCACCCGATTTGCGGCCGCAGAGTGGCACAAAATTGAGCAAGAAATCGGACCACGCCCAACACGAACAATTCGAACACCGACGATCCACGACGGACGATCGCGGACACCGTCGCGTCGTGGACTAGGCCACGTCCTTGCCGCGAGTTACTTAATCCTTCGACGAGCCTCGGCAAGAGGGAAACAACGCGGTTCGCCCGCTTCACTTTTCCGTGGTTTTTCGGCCCGATTACTTCATTAACGACCGCCCGCTTTTTCGCTTTCGAGTCCCGGCCGGGCACCTTCGGCGTGACCTTTTACCGGAGAACGCCGCGGCCGATCGAATATTTCTTCTTAACTCTCTTCGGGACGCGAAGTCGGAGACGAATATCGACGATAATATGCGACACGATGCGACACGATGGTTTTAGAGAATATGGGGACGAATAGAGATGATGATTAGAGCGCGGATCTTTGTGCAGGATCAAAATTGTCTGACTTGATTGTGTAAGTGGAGCACGGACCTTTGCGCGAAACAAAAGCTCGCGGATTCAATTTTAAGAGACAGAAATGAGATAAGAATTTCTTTCTTCTTCTCGGCGCTTTAACCAGTCAGCTGTGCTTGATGGGTATACTTGTCACGGAGAAGTGGTAGTATTTTGTGTCATGAGGAGCATACTCGTCGTGTGTAAAAGGTAGCGACCATTGGATATTTAAATTGTAATTTTAGTAAAAACAAATACGTATTCTCAAATTTCAATATGCTTAGAATATTTTGAGGCCAGTCCTACACGAAGATGTTTGCTGAATACCATTCTACAGCAGGAATTTGAATTTTTAACTTTTACAAGTACTCGATTTTTCCTGCGTTTTCGTTTATTATGTATGTAGTATATGTTGATATTAAGTGAATAAGTAAATATTAGGTCTACCGGAAAGTTCTGTCCGTTTGAGAAATGAAAGGAAATAATAGATTTTTCATAAATTTAGTAATATTTATTGTTCAATATAATTTCCGTCGTTACTTATGACCTCTTGCCAGCGTGATGGCAATTTGTGAGCGACATTTTTCAAAAATATATGTCTCATATGAATATGTGCATATCTATTGAAATTTGCAATGACATTATCAGACAGAACTTTCCGGTAGACCTGATTAATATATATTTAGAATAATATATATTAGACCTATTATATATATATATATATATATATATATATATATATATATAATATATATTTTATAAAATAGAACCGTCTTTTCGATCCAATATTTTAACAGCGACGCTTGCTCTGTGTTTAATTCTCGCGACACATATAAGTGCGCGCTCTGAAAAGCAGGTGCCACAGCTAACTGGTTAATTTGTCTAATGTATCTGCATTTTGCTATTTTTCTCCAGACATTTTTATCGTGAACGCGTAAAATCCGCAGCCCGATTGTAAGAAACGCAAGTTGCACAAAAATGTCTTTTCGCTTTCAATCATTTTTGCACAATGTTAGAATTCTCGAATTCTTCTTGTGTTTTTCGAATTTTTTATTTTCGACCTAATTATTTTGGTCTGATAGTAACGAAACGTTGGTATGTTGTATTTCGTTTTCAAATACTTCGATACCTTCGGTTTTATGGGGTGAATTTCAATTCCAATTAGGTACTCCACAAAATTCTTTTTATTTCTATAAATATTTAATATTTATTAATATTAATTTATATATTTAATATATAATTTTTTTCATATATAATATTTATAATATTATTTATATCTGTTATCAATTTCTTTTATATATAATATATTATATAATATTATAATTTTTAATATTTCAATTTCAATTGTTTACAGGGTGAACGCAGAGCCAATATCTCGATATATTTCGTCTGATCTCTCCGTTATCACTTTGATGCGATCGCTTGCCGTTGGCATTCCAGCCGAAAAATATGACACCAGGGTGATGTCACCGGCACTTACTCGTCTCGTAGGTAACATTAGGGTGGCAACACTAGACAGGAGGGTATCATTGTTAAAAATATCAAACATTATTCCATGTTTAGATACATTTATTCTCCCTGACCTTTTCCTCTTTATTATTTCTAGGAACTTGAAAAACTTGAAAACCCTGCACGTAACAACCAAATCACGGATGATTTCTACGCAAAATAAAAAAATTGTTTGCACGAACTGCAAGATACCGGAGCCACGTGGACAGTTATATCATTCTTTAATTATATTGACGAACCGAATATGGTGCAACGATGTCTTTAAATTCTCCGAACGTTTTGGCTGCCTCGCGTTTGATCGATTCGGGAGAAAAGTAACATTAACGAGAGAATATTCCCTATGTTACGTAAATGTATCAGCAAGTTGTCTCATATAATACGTAACGCGAAGAAAAAAAAATTATGCAACACGAAACGAACAAAGTAAATCGCATCGATGGTACGCGGAGCGAGCAGAAACGAGATTACATAAAAATGCAGTAAAATAAGGTAAACAAAAGTGAGCAAATTGTAATTAAACAAGCAAAGCATGCAATGATAAAATGAGCAACGGTGCGAGAAGACAATGGAAAGGGGGAGTACAATAAATTCTCCCTAATTTTCCTTCAACTTCTAAACAAAAATGGACAATCTGGGAAGAGGAGATTCGATTATTCGAGCCTCGCTGCTCGTTTTTATAGTTATTATATAATAGTTATGATATATTATTTTAGTTATTATTTTTGATTGCGGTTATTATATTATATTTATTATTTTATATTATTCTATATCATTATATGGCCACCGCCATTTTTCTCATCCGAAAATACAGTAAATTCTTCTTAATTGACGCTCAGATTGTGCACAAGAATAGTGCTATAAAAATGATTTTTGTTTATTTTTGTTCACAAGCTGAAGGAAAACTCGGGAAAATTCATTGTACAGCGTTTCTACCATAACTACGATTAAATCGGCGATGCCCTAGCGACGGTTAATAGTCAAATAAAACGAGCTTCCCCGCGGCCGTTTCGAAACGCGGTAGCGCGAAGAGACTTTAATGCCGGGTAACGACGGTTGTGTTGCGCTTTAAACGCCGCATCGTCTCGCAGTCGAACGGTCTCTGATAAATTTGACAAATACTTCATAATGTCAATTAGTTATGGTGGTTCACACGAGCCCAACAAATTATTTGCCGTGTAATTCGCCGCGGCTTGGCGCGGCTCCGGCCCGGTCTTCGAACGGCAACCTTCAGTTCTTCCATAATTGGCGGAATCAACTGGTTCTTTTTTCGCGGTATGAAAAAATACGAGGAGGACCTGATTACGCGGTCGTGACGTAAGATGCCGGTGAAGCAACGCTGATCGGATTTTCGGTGGTATAACGCGTTTCGCGGCATTTAATGCCAATTTATTTGATCGCGCGAGCCACGTTGCGCTTATATTACCCTCCTTAATCATCCGGTAAACATTTCGGCTACCGGAGACCCGTTCAATTTCTCAGCTAAACCGAAGCTCGTGTTATCGAGCCGAAAGGAGCTCAAGGGGTTACGCGTATTTAGAGGGCTTCTAGATTCACAGTGGGAAATCTTAGACGGTTTTATTTTCTAAGATTTTATTTTATTTATTTATTTATCTAATCCTTGCCTACTGGGTTTATGATGACTTCTAGTTTAAACTTTTTACCTTTCCATTGTACGGAGAATCATAATTGTACATATTGAATTACTAATTTGCGTGTTCGCTTATTATTATTAGCTTACTCATTTAATTATTTACCTATTTTATAGTGCATTGTTCGTTCAATAGCTTATTCATTCAGTAATTAATTTATTCAACAGCATATATTTTCTTATCTGATTTCTATTATTTATAGTAAGAATTGTTAGTTTAATAATCTTATTTAATCCACTATAATAATCTAACGATCTTATTTAATCTACTATAATAATCTTATGATCCAGCAGCAAAATAAAACGCAAATCGAAGAAGGAACATAAACTTTTAAGATTTAATTTTTTTCCTTGATTCTATTTCATCTTTTTATTTTATTATGTAAGAATTCTGAATCTTTATTAATCTTTCTTTAAGAGAAGAAATCTCTTCAAGAGCCGATGGGAAAATTGTCCATTTCCGTGCGCAATCTGAGCGTCAATTAGGGAGAATTTACGGTATTTCGAGGATGAGGAAAATGGCGTTGGCCGTTCGCACCATGGGAAAGAATCGGAATAGCACGAGTGAAAGAATGGGTGAATAGCACACACGCATTGAAATTCCAGCGGTCAGCGGTCGGCAAGTGCGGAAGACCTAAATTCGAGTTGTGACATTGATTTCACGCGGCAGACCAGTCGATAGACTGGTCGAACCCGAGTGTAGACAGAAGCTGCCGGAGGCCTCTCGATCCTCGATCTGGATCGGGGCATAGTAGATCGCCCCGGGCCGTGCCGATCGATCGATCGAGGCGGGCCCCCGAAAGGTTTCGGCTCGGGCCCGCGTCGCTCCGGCCGGAGTGTGTATTTCCTTTTCTTTTTTTTCTTGTTTCTCGCTTTGTTCCTTCTTGCCTTTTTTCTTTTGCTTCCTTTATGAAAGTGCTCCACTTCTGTTTGCCGGTGTAACGTTAGATGTGACGCAACGATCGAGGTAGATCCGAATACGTATCGCGCCGTCGAAAGTTTCGCGACGAACTGGTACCGGCGACCCCCCTTTTCGGCCGGCGCACGGCCCTGGAATTTGGCGAAATTTCGAAAATTGATCGCTCTCGCGGCGGGACCCGTTCCTCCACGTGTCGAACGCTCTGAATTATTTATTTTACCGCAGCCCAGCGATTTGGCTAAATTATTGAAAAATTGCTTTCGCTGCGGTGATCGATTGAACGATCTAAATTATTTCATTCATTCGATGGTTTATTTATTTAGATCGTTTATTCGTTAGCTTACTCAATTGATAATTTATTTATTCGGTATATTTATTTATTTGTTCATTTATTCGGTAGCTTACTTATTTAATT